AAAAAAAAAAAAACCATTCTCTAAAGAAAAAGGGGAAAGAAATTCTATTTATTTTAGGTGCGGAGTTGAACGTAGACATGGTTGGAATGCCAAAACAATTCGTTCGATATGTCTAGTTTCCACCTTGAATGTAATGGAAAATTGTAGATGAACTAACTTTTTGTTGTTATAATTATTGCAGTTGCAGCCCCGTAAGGTGTGGCTCAGGGATGGCTCAATGACGGTAGTGGTTGTGAAATTGCCGAAACTGAAACGGAAGCATTTTCCACAGAGCTTGTGACATTATAACAAGCTGAAGCAACAATGGAGAGGCAATAGGAGCGATAGAAAGAAGAGTGATTTGAGAAGGGTATAGGTATTTCTTGGTAATAAGTCTCAAAATTATTCAGGTAGTGGTATTTCGAAAGGAAGTAAATATTGGCCAACCTACAGAAATGCAGTAGAGGGTGGACCAAATATTTCAATTAAGAGAATCCATCCTCATAAAACAAGCAACATTATCAAGTCAAAGGAGTTTGCAATACAATTTTTTGTCTTAAAGCTATTTAAACATGACATAGGACTATTTTTGAAGTTCTGAGAACCGACCATAGACGACTAATCAGCTGTCCAACTTTGCTCAACAATCGCTCGCACTCTTCTATTATAGTCGCGCTTGTTCTCACTGAACATTCGAGCAGCTTCTGAATTTGCAGGAGAATTTGGATTTGGATCACAGAGCAATGACTGCAGTCAAAAAATAGGATAGCTTAGAACAGGCAAGTTAATACAAGAAAATTAGGAAGTATTACATGATAAAGCTATAACTAATGTAAGTAGTTCTCTTAATCTAAAAAGGTAGGTTTGTATTCAGCAAGAATAATGAAAGAAATAGGTTACTAACTCAGCAAAATGATTTGTTGACTCTTTTTTTTTTCTTTTTGGTTTTCTTTCCATTTTTCCCTTTTGGCAAATGTGGATATGCTGACATGCAACAAAAAATGGTTATGAAATATGTAGATTAGAAGCTGGAAGAAATAATCCCAGTTTCATCCCACTATCAGAAAACATTAATTTAAAAGGTCACAAGTTAAACACAAACACATGTATGCTGGATCAACAGTAAAAATGGGACATAAGATTTTGTAACATTAAAAATAGAGTAGGGATCCACTTACACACCAAGTTTTACACAACACACTTACACAAAATCTCAACCATTCATCTCTCTACTTTCAATGGTTATTTATGCACATTTATTAAAGATAATTATTGTTTTCATCTAAAAAGTCGTCATAAATCTCAACTATTGAAAGTGGAAAGATAAATGGTTAAAATTTTGTATAAATATGGCATGTAAGACTTGTGTGTGACTTGATCCCTCCTCTTAAAAATAATGTTCCCTTTGTGGATATCACAATAATTAAGGGTGAAGGTCTTTAAATCTCAGCTTCTCCTTCAACTAACAGACCAAAGCCCTTCAATGGCAAATTAAATTTTTTTTGGTCCAAATTGGCAAATTATATCAACAACATTTTGTTATGTGTTAAACACTTACACAGGAAATTGGAGTTGTTTTAATGGAGGATTTGGAGGAACAAACCAAACATAGGTAGGTTTTGCACCTACAGCTTGCAACAAAATAACTTGGTATTTAGGATCCATTTATTAACCAAAAAAGGGGGAACAATTTTGCTGAAATCATATTCCCATTTTTAATATTTTCAGTGTTTCTGACATGCAGCAAAATTTCAATATATTTTGGTAATATTTTAAACTGATAGTCATCAGCAGAAAATGCAGAATAAGTTTTCCAGTTACTTTTTCTAAAGACAAAAGAGAAAATAATGTCAAGTTCAACAATCCAGGGTTGGCCTAGCAGTTATTACCCCCACCTTTAAGGTGAAAGATCTAAGGTTCCATTCTCCTGTTCCCTAGAAGAAGAAAACATCTATATAATTCTGAAAGAGAATGGAGTACCTGAATAGAGGTCAGTATTGCTGCTACGTCGTAAATTGGACTCCACTGATTTTGTAAGATGTCCAGACAAATGCTTCCATCCGCATAAACTGAAGAAAGTGCAAGACAAAGGTCTTAAATATATCATAAGTGCAGTAGCCCATGAATGACTAAGATGACTTTTGAATTTCAGATGGGCCAAGGATTTCTGGGGCAGTACCCAGAATTATTGCAAGAGCACATCTACTAGACAAGATTTGCATGGTAGCTAGGCAACGTTGCTCATTTTACCAATTGCTAGACATCTTAAGGCATCAAACTAACTTCATGTAAGTCAGGCTTTGAGTTCTGTATGCATTCATAATAAATCCTCCTAGCCCATTCTGCCCCCCACCCCCATCCCCCAACCAAGATAATGCAATAAAGGAATAAATCAAGTTTTATTGCTTGCATGTTGTTTGAATGTAAATTGAAAATGTCAACTAAAGATAAGTATCTAAAGTAAAGAACAAAGTTCATATCAAACTTACTATTAGGATGGAACATCCGAGAGACAAAACGAACTGTTGGTGGCTTATTGGGATAATCCTCTGTAAATTGAAGAGTCAATTTAAACGTACCTGAAGGAATAAAATATATCAGAGCAGACAACAACAGAAAAAAGGATATGATTGAAATCAGCATAACTACCACATTTACGCAATACAATACACTATCAGCATAATAGAATTACCACTTATACACTACACTGAAAAAGTTGCTGGGGTTAATTGTAATTAGTCATTATTAAAAGAAAATGGAAAGGAATTCCTGAGGAGCAGTGAGAGGAATCGTGCAATTTAAGCATTACAGTAATAATATAGATGTGGAATTATCAAAGCTTCCAGGTCTAATGTGAAGATAAACAGATAAAATCAGCATTAAATGCCAAAAATTTCCCCGACATCTATCCACTTTAAAATCCACAGCATTAGTTGCATAAAAATGTGGGGAGTACTACCCATTTCCAGTCCCGTCAAACCAGGGCATTTAACAATCCTAATCTTCTGCATTGTTGCTGGAAGTGACCAATCTCAAGACTCATGAGTTATGTCGTGCCTTTGAAGTCAAAACTCAAGAGGAATCAATCATATTCATTTGATCAAAAAATTAAATTGAAATAATCACCGCTTGTAGAGATATCATGAAATATAGCATGCAGTGTGCAAATAAAAAATATCATGAGAATGAGGAAAGAAAAATTAGAAGTCACAGGAGAAAACTACCATTTAGGGGTCCAAAATTAGTTAGGGTCTAACTGACCACTCAAGGTTGAGCTCAAGCTTGGTCCAACCCTAATCTAACCAAGCTTCAACAAACTACAAGTCGAGTTTGAGCATCACAATTAGATTTATTAGTTAATCTAGTCAAGCTTGAGCAAACGTTTCTCAGTTAATAATTGCGACCAATTGAGCTCAATATATATTTTAAATAATATTTGAATAAGAGTGAACTAATTTAAATTGAGCATGATCCTAATCGAGCAAAAAAATATATTTTAAAATTTATAAATATAATTTCAATTGAACTTAATCAAAATCAAGCTTATTTGTAGGAAAAAAAAAAAGAAAAAAGAAAAAGAAAAATAAGAAAGGTTTTAACTGAGTTGAGCTTGAGAACTTCAACATTTGAATTTTGATCAACTTCAAGCTTGAGCTTAGGAAAAGTTAGAGCTTGAGCTCAGCACTTCTCAACTCGATTACACCTCTACTTTCATCCAATAACTGCTGAGAAAGAAATGACTAAGATCCTCTCAAAATCAAAATATGAGCAAGAAATTGACTGTACCTCCATCCCATGGGGTATCATCAGGCCTGCAAATCAATCAAAAAGCATAAGCATAATTTCACTGAAAACTCACAAAAAATACAAGCAGAAGTAATTCAAAAGGCAATCCAATTTCCCTGCATGCATACCCGAATATAACTGCATTCCAAAGCATGATATTGTTATCTTGAGGAGCACCACTTATTCCTGCAGGAGGATCTTGTTGCAACCTCTTAAAATCCCTCATCAGTCTCTTTCTCGCAGGAGTCGACATCCTCACCGCCTATAAGCTCAATAGGAAGAAAATTCAGTCAATATGAAGATGCAACCAGTGAAAGAAAAAGCAAATAACAATTCCTCAAGGTAATCATCAACATCAACATGTTCTACACTGGAGTCCCTGATAGGCAATAGGTTGAGAGAATACAGTACAATTGCTTGTGAATTCACACAACAAAGAACTAATCTAGCAAAACATGAATGAACAGTTTTTTCAAACATCACACACAAACAACATCTCAGCTAAGTCCTGTTTTAGAACATCTGAATCTTATACAGATTGCATACAAATACGAAATCAAATGCCCAGGAGAAAGAAATACATTTCAAACATCACACGTTCCAATATAACTCGACAGACAGCAGAAAAAGGACATATAAGCAGATTCATGCGTAACCTCTCAGGTCCAAATAACAATTACGAGATCAGAAAGATCAAACAAGAAATTACAGCTCTTTCATTGTTTATATTCTGATAGCAACATGAGCGTGAGAAAATCCAATGAAAGCAGCAAAATCACCATGATCTCGCAAGAATTCAGCTAAAACTTATATAATTAGTACCACACATAACCCTAGATCCACAGCTACATAACTAGCTGCTTCGAGATCAACCAAACAACACAATCAAAAACTGAAAAGCTCCATTTTATCATCAAAGCTAGAATTCCACAAATAATTAAGAAGGCAAATCCAAGCGAAAGAAAGAAACTAGGAAACGAGAGCAAACAGGTAAAATCTCTTACTCTGCTAACCAACCGCGGCGAGAGTTACTTCCGATTCTCCAAAAGAAAGATTCAGAATCGCAGATGGCGAGAAGGAAACGTTTCCTATGGGAACAAACAAGTTATATCAGAGAGAGACAATTTCTTTTGGTATTAGAATGCAAGAGATAAAAGAGAGGATGTTTATTTTTAACTTTTTTTATTTTTTTATTTTTAAAAATAAAATAATTATGAGAATAAGAGAATGTATAATATATGTGCTAAAACTAACAAGCTTGTTAGTTAGTCTGATTAAAGGGAATTTGATTTCTTTAATAAAATTTTCATTAAGTTTTGTGAATGAATAGATAAATATTAAGAATTTTTTCATAAAATTTTACATAATTTGACTTTAAATTAATAGAAATCTTGATTTGTAAAGAGTTTAATTCCCTTATACTTAAGTAATATTTGGAATTTAAATATTATAAATAAATTTAAAAGTTCGATACATCTTAATATTAAATTAATTAATATCTAATATAACTTTTGTGATATTAAAGGATTTATACTAAAAAATTTTAATAGATATTTAATATAATTTCTAATCATGAAATGACTTGCTAAAAAAAATATATAAATTGATAAAAAAAATAATAATAATGCTGATTATCAAAACGAAAGAACATGATAATGTTGATAACCACTTTAGGAGCTTACAATAACCCAATAAGAAATT